TTTTATCTATTTCCTCGCAGTATTTGGCTTAATATATTCAGAAAGATATACACGGGTGAGTGATTATATATATACATATATACATATATATATATATATATATATATATATATATATATATAAAGAGAGAGAGAGAGAGAGAGAGAAAGAGAGAGTTAAACCTAGAGAGCCAAACCTACCAAGGTTTCACCAAAGCCATTTCCGAGCGAGTATAGTTTCTTATACTTATAAGATTTCTATTAATAATATATTAATATATATATATATATATATATATATATATACTGCATTTTTTAATTAGCATGATGCTTATAAATATGGCAACACTCAGATTAATTCAAAAAGTAAACTTAATTTTAGCATGAAGCGAGGCTCAAATTTTACTTTTATTAGCATGCAGCGTATAATCATGACAAGCCTCAGATTATTACAGAAGTTGAGCATATCTTAAGCATGAAGCGAGGCACAGATCTTTTTAACGTATCTTTTAAATTAAATTTCTCATTTTCTTTTTAAGCCTGAAATAAGAATGAAACTTGAGCCTTTGATAGGTATGACCAGCCTCAGCTGAAATTGCCTGATGCTAATAAAAAAAAAAATAAGTATATATACGTATATGTGATTCCATGTCAAATGTACACACTCACATGCGAGGACACATTGAAATGGACAAAACGTATCGACTGTAGATATAAGGTTTATTTTGTTGCTCTGGCTAAAATTAGATGACATCAAGAGATTATAAGATCCAGCGAATTCGATCTTAACTAGGTTCCCGATATTTTCCTTGCTCAAAATTACCTTGAGTTTGACCGTGACTTATCCTCACACCAAATTTATGACTTAACTAAAGGTTCTCAACCGAGATCCGTATGAAACCTGGGGATACATATAACATTATTAGAGCTTCACACACAAAAAAAATAGCAAATTGGTGATCCACGGTAATATTTTGGTGGTCCATAGTGCAAATTTGCTTCGGAACGGTTGTTACAACTAAGAATTGGAATTTCTACAGTAATCTACGCCATATCAAAATACTAAAAACAGAAAACAACACGAAAATTAAAAGAAAACGAAATCAAGCGATGTAAGTTAGCGTCCCTTTTGCTCTACCGGATGTTTTGATTGTAAAATTTGAATAAAACTGAAAAGGATACACAAAAGAAGGATTATATATATATATATATATATATATATATATATATATATATATATATATATATATATATATATATATATAAAAAAGAAAATTGTATAAAGATTATAATCTATTATATAAATTCATTTAATATATTAATAATAAATAATCATATTAATTTTAAATATTAATAAAATAAAATATTAATATATTAATATAAATTAATTAATATAGTAATAAATTCGACATTGTAAAAAGGGGTGATCTTCAATTATCATTGTCATCGATGAAACCGAATTTAAAACAAATCTTACAGAGCAGCATCAACCTCATTGAATAAATCTCCATTTTTTTTTAATTTATTAATTACTCACATATTTTAATATTTTTACTAGATATTTTACTAGTGTACATAAACTGTCCATAGAATTTAGTTGTTAAAAACAAGTATATTTTCATTAAATTAGTTTTACTTCAAAATAAAGCATATAAATATATTATTTCTATATTAAATTCCTGAATTTATCTATTAGTAAAAAATAAAATAAGAAACTTTTTTCAAATGGTTATGGGGGTCCACAAAAAAAATAAGTGTAAAAGTAGTTCATGCTTAAAGAATAGGTTGAGAACCGCTAACATAGACGACAAAATTAATGGCACTGCTCACAAAAGTTTGCATCAAAAGTCCCTACTTTATTCATCTGCGCGATAACATCGCCGGAATCTTTAGGCGACACATGGCATCTACTTCTTATGTTGAGTCAGGAGTAACTTCCGTTTTTTCGAACCAATTCTAATGTCGAATGTATCCTAACTATTAATCATACGTGACAGTTAAGAATTTTTGCACGACAGACAATAAAGCCACTAAGATGCAACACTGTTAAGAAAATAGAACGATAAAAGAACAGTAATAAATACTCATTTCTCCCCAGTCAAGGCAATGAAGTCACTAAGATTTTTTATCAAATGACCACGTAATGCTTTATTTAAAAAAAAAAAAAAACAACTATAGGAAAGAACGCTATGTTGTTATTTTCAAAAATAAATAAACAAACGCACGACGTTGGGTGTAATAGAAAGGATGATGTGAAGAATGAAGAAGAAGAAGAACCTTTTAAACCAGAAATCCGAAGTCTTAAGTCCTTGCTTACACATCAGAAAATTCTTCTCAAGCACATATGAGGCTGGATAAAAGAAAGTAATGTGCATTTCAATTAACCTCCCCCATCGATACATTTACAATACCATTGCTTTTCTTCTCTTGCCCTCCTTCTTCTCTTTTCCTTATATATATATATATATATATATATATATATATATATATATATATATATATATATATATGTGTGTGTGTGTGTGTGTGTGTGTGTGTGTGTGTGTGTGTGTGTGTGTGTTTAATAGATATAGATATAGAAAATTTTAAAATTAACTTTTTAGAGGTACGTTGGAGTAATTGATTGCGGCTCGGATTGAGTAACCGGAGAAATGAGCTAAGCTCGAATCACAGTCGGAATCGCAGTCGGATCCATCACATACGTGCTAATACGGAAAGATATGAGTCCTCTTCTTCTCTCCCAAAATAGCAGGACAGACAACCGGTCTAGGAGAAGGAAAAACTCTGAATTCAAAACCGGCCTGGAGAGGGTTGGGCTCCATCAGGCTATTTTGTTCAAGATACTGTTGCAGTACATGTGGTGCCCCTACGGGTCACGGGATAAAAATAAATAAAAAATAATTATATATAGTATTGATTTCTATATTTTCTTTTAATCAGTTTACCCCCAAAAAGCTGTTAATACACAGAGTGGTTAGTGAGTGGGAAATAATAATAAAAAGAAAAACATTATTAAGGAACGAAAACAATAAAAGAAGAGTCAAGGAGATAGTAGATAACGCTTGAGATTAAACATTTTTGAAGATGACGGTTGCATCTGGCCAATTCAACTGTAAAATAAGACCTAGCTGCCAATCTAGTACTGCGCTAAAATTTTCAAAGTCTAGGTACCATAAAGGAAAGTTCATTAGAACAATTATCATAAAATTATGCATAGAAAAGGCAAGAAGAAGCTGAATTACGGTGGTGTGAAAGTGACCTAGGTCGGTGTTAAGGGGCCCACCCCTTTTTCATACAAGTAGACTCGCCCAGTGTGTACTTGGACTGCTGCCGGTGAATACCAATGAAGTGAAGATAGAGTGATAGAGTGAAGTGATACAGTGAGACAGTGAGAGAGTGAGAGAGTGAGAGTGTGAGGTAACCGCTTTGTAGAAGTCACAGTTGCGAGCACGTAGACTCAGAAGGAAGCCATACTTCAATACTGAATTTCCCAGACTGTATATATATTATTATTGCTACTAACCACATTTCTGGATCTACTAACCGTATTACCAATTGTATTATTACGTCAATACATTTATTTGCTATATTTCATTCCTGCGTTTGTCATTCATTTGAGACCGGATTTCATCCCGGAATCGACAACAGTCGAAATGCCAGGTCAGGATTAATAACATTGCAGATTCTTCTTTGGATTTTATCAAGAATCTCTAAATATATTGCAGGAGCACCAGAGCATATGTGGCATCAATATTCGAAGCAAGGACGAATGATCTACTTATAAATATATAAGAAAGTTTCTGGAGAAAAAATTGTCTCGCACGGCACAGGAAACCAGATTTCCTAGCTACGGATTAAAGAAAAAATCTTGATCCACTCCATGACATAACGCAAGAATAACAGAGGAAGAATATAATTTTCGGAATTCGGTTGGTCTTTCCTGTTCCACCCGATATATTCATTGATTGACCCATTCGTTTACTACGGCTTATCAACCACTTTCAGGTTATTTAAAGCCATACGGATAGAAAATGAATTCATCAGATATACAAAAATAGAAAGAGGCGTAAGGCAAGGATGTGTCTTCTCATCGGATTTATTCAACCTATAGAGTGAGGCAATTCTGAGAGAAGTGGAAATCCCATTGGTGGCCATAATCTTAACAACATAATATACGCAGATGTCACAGTGCTGATAGAAGAGACGGAAAGGAAATTACAAAACTTCCTACGGAAGGAAGCGAAGGAGAACGAGAAGGAGGGACATAATGTATGGTCATCAGCAAAAAGATGAGCCCGAAAAGCTATTTACAGGTCGGGGACACTAAAATCAAGCAGATGCGGAAATTTAAATATCTGAGAAGTGTTCTGACAGAGGTCGGTAAGTGCGACGCTGAGATCCGAAGACGTATTCAGATCGCCAAAGACGCATTCCAAAAGCTAGGCAGAGTATTACGCGGCAGGAGGATTTCGTTAGTAACAAAGAAAAGATTAATGAACTACTGCGTGATATCTGTCCTCCTTTACAGCAACAAATGTTGTACAGTCTCCACAAAGATGAAGAAGAGACACGAGGCAACAGAGGTATGGTTCTACAGAAATATACTGAGGATACCATGGACCGAACATGTGAGCAACGATGAGTTTTGGAGAGGATGCAAGCAAAGAGGAGACTTATACTTAACATCAGGAAGAGGCAGCTGAAATTTCTGGGACACGTAATGACAAAGGAAGGCTTGGAAAATCTGCTGCTCACAGGGCAGATATAGGGAAAGAGGGACAAGGGGAAGCAACGCGTGGCATACTTAACGGACATAAGCAAGTGGATGGCAGAACAGGGTTTGTAAGAAGTAGCAAAAAGTCAAAACTTATTGAGAACTACAAGGGATAGGAGGAAGTGGAGAGCCATGATCGCCTATGTCGTGAAACGACACAGCATATAAAAGAAGAATATTTGCGCGGAAGTGAATATAACGAACCCAAATTTCGTGTCAGTATCGATTACACCACCCACACATCCAAGCTTACAGTACCTGATAATCCCAATCAGTCACTCATCGGTACTAACCAGGCTTGAATTTGCTTAACTTCGGTGATCGTACGGGAACCGATGTCTCAACATGATGTGGCCGTAAGCCATCGACATATTTACCTGACCGGGTACCAACCGATTATTACCTAAAGAGTTCTTCAAAAACTTTGTCATATCAAAACCTTCGGATAAAATGTGCCGAAGATTTTCCTGATAAGTGGCAACGATTCTTTGCAAATAAAGGTAAATATCTAATTGAATAAAATGTAGCCACTTTATTTTTTAAAGAATAAAGTTGATAAGCAACAACGGAAATTAATTATGATACAACTATTTATCTATATGTCTATCATAGTCTATTAATACCGATTTATATGTTCATATATATCTATCTCTGTTCATATCTCTACCTAGTGCAAATCGGGCAGATTATTACTACTGTAGTGATTTCACTCTTTATTGGTTGCTCCACAACTATGGCCTTATGCCAGACTAAGATGATATTAAAAACAAGAAGGATTGTTGTGAACAACTACTTAATAATCTCGTCTCAAAAACCGTTACTTCTGTAGTATGTCCGTTCTTCAGCACTTTTGACTTCGTGACAGACTCGGCTACGCTAAGTAAGTTTTTCAGGTGTTTAGCTATGCTGTATTAGCTAGCGATTAATTCTTGCAGATCACGTGTTTTCTACTCAATTGGATCCTCACTAGGTGCTCTATAATTCCTATCTTTTACCGGACTAGGCCAACATTGAATAATCTTTTAGTACGTATCTGTGTCTGTATGTGAAGAGCGAGAAAGTGAGAATGAGTCGAAGAACTCTTGGTTCCTTCTCCAAGTAGCTACTTGTTTCTTCTCCATCATTAATATATATATATATATATATATATATATATATATATATATATATATATATATATATATATATATATATGCAGAATTTAATTTCTCGATATTTCATTGCAAGTTCGTCGCTTGAATGCAGTCTTTGTCGGGTTGAGCAGGCCAATAATAACGTTGAGGATGTTGTACGCCAAACATCTATTGTTGCTTATGACTCAAGACAGCAACATGTCTCACAGCGGTTTCCTGGGTGGAACCGATATATGTAAGCAGAGTCATTGATCTGGATGTGTGGGCGGAGAATTTCAGACGTACTTTTTAACACGTTTCCATAAACTTGACTTACACCGGAATTCCGGTTTGTGTTTGTGTATGTTGACAGATATGAACAGATTAAGATAGATAGATAGATAGATAAATAGATAGATAGATAGATAGATAGATAGATAGATAGATAGATAGCCAGAATAATACTGAGCTAGATAGAAACAGAATCAGTATCATTTATTGATGGGGAAAATGAACGTCTTCGCTCTGCAATTTTGACTGAAGTCTAAACAAGCAATAATATTTTTTCAAAGGAAAAAAGTCAAATGACGTCATCGGAGACATTATTCTCTATCTAAAATGTTGATACAATTTTTGTTTCAGATAAATATGTCGATATACGAGAGTTGCTGAAAAATCCTAGGCCCGAGTTAATCGCACTTGACACATCGTCTCTCAAATTTATGTAAGCCATCAAAACTTCATTCTTGTTAAGTCATTGAAACACTACCCCCTTTCAACCTCTTTATTGTGTTTAGAAACGGAACAAACATAGAACAGGCTTTTACAGCCACATCACGTAAAAACACCGATTCCTGTACGATCACCGGTGTTAAACAACATCGAGAAATGTACCAAGATGGATGACCGACTGGAAATACTAGGCGTAATAGATAATGGCTCAGAAATTGTAAATCAGAGAGTCGAGTTTCAATCCTACTTGGGTTCATTATATTCATTTATGCGCAAATACACTTGGGAAAAGTATGAATTCGCCTTTTCTCCACCAGCTATGAGTTAATTAGTAAGACTTGTATCACTAAATCATTATTATCTCAAAAAAAATTCGTACGATCTAAAAATATTTTCTGGCTTTAAATAACCTAAAAAGGGTTGATAAACTGTAAAAAACGTATCAATCTATGACCTTAATTAGTAAGACGTGTATTAGTAAATCATTGTTATCTCCCCCAATACTCTGACAATCCAAAAATATTTTCTGGCTTCCAATAACTTGCAAAGTGTTGATAAGCCGTAAAAAATGAAATAATCATACTCAGAACAAGATTTGTTGAGTAGGATGTATGCTCTTTGCACTCAAGCCTCAAATTATTTGAAACATCCTACTCAACAATGATGTTCATTGAAATAGTGTTCTGCAGCTATCATTGTCAAAACATTTGAAAATATTCTCCCTTTCAAACTCGTTTTTGGCTTTAGAAACAGGACATATTCAGAGCAGGATTTGACGAGTAGGGTGCATAATCTATGCACTCAAACCCCAAACCTCGGTATCCATACATTTTGACAGGTTCTGCATGCCCAATTGCCCCTTATTTTATAAATACAACGCGTCTCCTGGATATGTTGTGCCTTAGCAATTCTTGTTTGGTCATTAAAATAACACTTTGCTTCTGTTATCACCTTCGAAGCATTTGAAAATTTCCGTTTTTCAAACTTATTTTAGGGTTTACAAAGATATACTTAGAACAAGATTTAGGGAGTAGGGTGGATGGTCTCTGTACACAAATAACCAAATTCTTTAAAACGTCTATCATCTCGCCAGTCATGTGAACAGGTACATTATCCTGCAAAAAGAGAACACTTGTGCGCATTTTCCTTCAGCAATTTCTTTTCAATATCTCCTTTAATTAAGATAGACGATTATTCTGCCTTAATTTCTTGGTGCATCTGAATCTAACCACTCATCAAAATACCTTCCTTATCAGAAGACAAAAATATCACTACGGCATTTTCGACATTTTACTTCGAAATGGAAAACCCGCTTGCCGCCATTGCATGAAATGATGTTTGGTCTCCGAATTATAGTGATGTAAACGCGTTTAATTAACAGTGATAATTCGTTCCAAAAATTATAATTAGAGCGCTTATATTTATAATTATATTTACGACATAATCAACTTGGAAATGTCAACTCGATAACATTTCCGATCGATCTCCAAACATGTTGTCACTCGCTTGACTGAGAGGTTCTGCATATCATGAACTATAAACCCAACGCGTCCCCTGGATACCTGTTGAAGGCCGAGCGATTACTTTGGTTGAGCTTCAGCGATCGGTCAAAATTATGTCATGAACATGATCAAACATTTCAAGGAGTCCACAGAGTTAAAAGAATCCAATACTGACTTGTATCTTAAAATCTCTATACTGAAAGTTGATACATCAAATCTTCACTTCAATGTTCGCATGAATTTCCTTTAGACTTTTCTTCTGTAGGAACAGGAATTTGATGACGCCCGAAGTTAAAAACGGTACTAGGAGCAGGAAGGCATTTCTATCTTTATTGCACTTGTCTTCATCGGTATGTGTGGGAAAGATAATTGTTATCTCTAGCTTTGAACAACTTATGGTTCTAGTGGCCAGGAAAACATCCTCTCAGGAGTCGGTACCACAATGTAGCGGTTCGTGGAAGGTAACAGGAAACTACACCAATATCTTTCCTAATATATCATGGCAATTCAAAGAAAAAAGAAACTGTGGAGAGCTATGATCGCCTAGATCCTGACGGGACATGACATTAAAAAAATTCGCAAGTCATTAATAATAGATATACACTAGCTACATCTAGGTCCGATTTTTAATGAGTACTTGATTTATATGACCTTTTATCTAACTTGTCAAGGTTTTTAAAATTCAATAAATTCTTTCCATAAAAGGAAAATTAGAAACGTAACTGTTAAACCATTGCCTGCATGTAGGATTTTTAATGAGTGCTTCATTAACAAGGCCTTATGCCAAACTTTCCAAGGCTTTGTAAAATTCTATATTCTTTCCATACATTTGAAAGCTAATTTTTAAACCATTGCTAGCGGTATCGATTTAATATTAAATAATTCCCTGAGTTCTGTTTTATGCCAAAATAACAAACTTCTATAAAACGACTTGCTGTAAAGCGGTGAAGTATGTGGCGTTGTGCCAGACTTGCTTAAGTTATATGAATCTGTAAAAGAAAGCACAGACTTTTAATTCGTGAAAAGAGGCAAGGTCTGTTCCTTGTGATGAATAAAAATAGATTTTTGCAGACCTGAGAGAGAGATTTGTACGTTAAGTCAAAGCTGGTGACAGCCTTTTGGCCTGCGTCGTTATTTCGCTTGGTCTGTTTGAAAGAAAAAAAAACGAATCAGTGACTTACGTGAAAATGACAAGTCGGGCTCGCATGTCGAATTGGCGGCGCAGAGTGCAAAGTAAGTTAGGCAGAAAGTTAAGGAAACGACAAAGAAAATAGATATCAGCTTGAAACGGAATATAAATAAAAGCAGGTCCGGTGGAAATGTGGCTGAGACACTTACGTATTCTTCCATTGGGATTAGTGATTCATGTTTGAGTCGAATAAAAGATCGAATTCTGAATGTTGGTATTTCAAGCTACTAGCACACTCCGCTCTAAGTAGCTTGGCGTAATACAGTCTTTCGAGCTTCATTTCCCACGATTTGGCTGACTTGTTTAAATATCTACATGGTTGATATGAAAAATTTGCCTCAGTGGCTGGGGAAGTTATGTATTTCCTATTTCAAGAACAGGAAAAAATTACATCAAAATCCTTTCATTTAAAATTCTATCTTAATTTCTTATATATATATATATACAAGGTGTATTAAAAATACTTTTATAAACTTTGGGGACTGGTTCATCACACCAAAACAAGGACAAAAATCCATATAAAGATAAAAAGGTATGGAGAGGCTTGCAAAACCATTCGACACAGTGTGGGAGTATTTGAAAGAGTTTGCCAGTCAATGATCCGAGCGTGTGTAGAAGCAAGCGAAAATATTTGTCATGAGTTGCTGTGTTGGGGTACAGCGATGACTTTTTGGAATCCGCCTCCAAGTTTGTAAAATTATTTTTGATACATCTACCATAAACTTTAAACTCCAGAAGGAAGGATTTGCGGACATATGTTTATATGGACTTTTGTCCTTGTTTTTGGTGTGAGGAACCCACCCACAAAATTTGTAAAAGTATTTT